ATGATGTAGATCTCCATTCATTGCAATGGAAATATGCCCATGTATTACTAAATGAAGAGAGCAGACTACAGAAGAGCAGGATTATGTGAAATTGTTCCTTATTTATATCTGTCTCTATTCATAAATGTGTAGATATCTTCTGAAATGTTAACAGTGATCATTTCTAGCTCCACGTGGTAAAATTCAGAGCAAGTTTTTCTTTCCTTTTATTTTTACCATTTTTTTTTTGTCGGTACTACTTGGAGTTTACCTTTACCTGGTACAGTTGTTATTTTTACAATCTGGAAAAGAAATCAATACAGTTTCTTCATGTTGAGATAAATTGTTGAAAATGAAAATAATGGCTTGTTAAAAAAATTTTTATGTTTTCTAAGATTCTTAATGTAAAGCAAATAAAACAAACTCTCGTATGAGGGAAGAAGGCAATCATCTGACTGTGTCCAGGGCTGTGTCACAGTATGGTTCACAGTAAAAGGAAAAAAGAGGGATGGGCACTGTGGCACAGCACATTAAGCTGCTACTTGGGATACCCACATCCCATACTGAAGTGTCAGTTTGAGTCCTGGCTTCTCTGCATTTCAGATCTAACTTCTGCTAATGTGTTTGGGAGGCAGGAGAAAATGGCCTAAGAACCTGGGTCCCTGCCACCCAGGTGGGAGACCAAGAGGGAGTTTTGAGCTCTTGGTTTTGCTTGGCCCATGCCTTGTCTGTTGCTGCCATTTGAGGAGTAAATGAATGAGATGAACGATCTTGCTTACATGCTCTGTTTCTTTCCATCTCTTCTTCTGTCACTGTCTCTTTCAAATAAATAAATAAATCCTGAAAAGATACTGGGGAAAATGTTTTGGAGTTGTTGCATAGTGCATTAAGCTGCTGCTTGCAATGCCTACATTCCATATTGGAGTGCTGATTGGAGTCCTGACTGAATGCTTCCAATACAGCCTTCCCTGCTAATGTGCCAGAGAAAGCAGCAGATGATGGACTGACCATGTAAATATGTGAGCTCCTGTCACTCATGTCGGAAGCCTGGATAGAGCTCCAGGCTCCTGGCTTCAGCCTGCCCAACCAGCAGATAGATTATCTCTCCCTCTCCTTCATTTTGTGTCTCCCTCTCCTTCATTTTCTCTCTCTCTCTTACTTTCTTTTACCCTTATTTCCAAGCACATTTTTTTAAAAAGCACATTTTTAAAAATAGACACATTTTGGAAAGAGCAAGGTGAAATCAAGTTGCCCTGACCTGCAACTTGATTTTTCTTGTTAATATTTATTTTATTGTTATTTGAAAATCAGAGTTACCTAGAAAAAAGTAGGGAGAAAGAGAGACACAGAGAGAGAGAGAGAGAGAGACAGAGAGTCTTCCATCTGTTGGTTCACTTCCTAAATGGCTGTAGGGTCTGAAGCTGAGCTGCTCTGGAGCTAGGAGCAAGGAGCCTGCTCCAGGTCTTCCATGCAAGTGCAGGGACTTAAGGAATAGAGCCATCCTATGCTTCTTTCCCAGGCCATAAGCAGGAAGCCGATTCAGAAATGCAGCAGCTAGGACACGAGTTGCTGCCCATATGCGATATTGGTGCCATAGATGTGGGCTTAGCCTTCTATGCCAAACCATGATACACACATTTTCCTTTTTTCTTTAATGTTTTGCTTATTTCTATTGGAAAGTCAGCTATACAGAGAGGAGAGACAAAGATCTCCCATCTGCTGGTTCACTCCTCAAGTGGCCACAATGGCTGGAGTTGGCGTTGCTCCAAAGCCAGGAGCCAGAAACTTCTTCCAGATCTCCTTTGTGGGTCCCAAGGCTTTGGTCCATCCTCTACTGGAACAAGTAGGGAGCTGGATGGGAAGTAGAGCAGCTGGGACATGAACTGGCACTTATATGGGATGTCAATGTGTGCAAGGTGAGGACTTTAACCACTAGCTACCGCACGAGGCCCAATACACACACTTTTGAAGTGTTTGTCACTTTAGGTGCCATTCTAATCCAAGGATTGGCAGAAGTTGATTTAATTCTGTGACTTATAGTTTGACTAATTCTGTGATCTATAGGATGACAGAAAACACCCCCTGTGGGGTAGCAGAGAAAGGATAACTTCCTTTGTCATAGCGATTCCTTTTGCAAAAAAGAGACATATGCAGTGGCTCACAGTACAGCTCACACTTTATTCCATCGTGACTGGTACATATGTAGGACTGGACAGCAAGAGAGTACAATCATGGCAGACCTTCTCTGCATGACAGGGCCATAAAAGGCATCACTGGTTTTGGCACACAGAGTGGATAACCATACGTTGGTGAGAACAAGATGGTCAGAAAAGTAGAATGCAGATATCTAACACCATGTTGGAAATGTGTCTGGGTTCTATAGAATGTTGAAGAGTAAGCAATCGCCAAGACCAACATGCAACTGTAAGTCACACATTCCTCTACAGACTATTGTCCTCCTTAGAGATGAAGTCTTAGCAATCTGTTCACAATAGCTTAAAAAGAACAGTCGATACTCATTAGAGGGTCTGCTTTCTGATTTCTATAGCAATCCATTATTGAAGAAGAGATAATGCTAAATAATATATTTTCTCTATGTCACTCTTGTTAAATTGAATCATACCAACTGAATCTGACTTGACTATTACCCACTTAAATATAATGTATCACGTCTTTAAAATGTTGAAAAACAGTTCCTGCTAGTTTATCCCTCTTACAAATCATAATAGACAGGGGAACCTATATAAAAGGTGTTTCTTTTTCAAAAATAACCTATGCTGATGGAAACATCAAAGCAGTAATTTTATTATGCTGCGAGTATTTTAGGTTTTCATATCATTCTGTCACACAGAGAGTCTAAGGGAGCTGGCCTGGAAGGTATCATAGTAGTGTGGGAGTAAGGTATGGAAGAGGCACCCAGGTTCTAAATGACTTTTCAAGAGTAAGAGAAGAGAGAAAGAAGCAAAGACTAGGGAAAAAATGAAAAGTTGCTTTCTGCAGCAGACCCTGTTACAAAGAAAAATCTATTTACTTGTAATTGACTAAGCATAACAGAAAACAGCCCTGTAATTGAGGATGATAGAGGGAAACTATTGAAAAACCACATGCCTGTTAGCCCAAATTGACTGACTGGGCTGTTTCTCCTGTGGCTGTTTGTGAGATGTTGAGCTTGTATGGAGAGATTTTCTGCTTTTGCAATGGAGGGTTGATTTAACTCAAAAGGGCAGACACAGTTCTAAAGAGAGTTTCTTTTATTAACCTGAGCCCATGATTAATATTCCATCTCTCTGGGAAAAACATATTCATCCTTTGAAGGGAAGGTTTGAAATATAATGGTTGGCCCGGTAAGGTAGCCTAGTGGCTAGGGTTCTCGCCTTTCACACATGTGGGTTCCAGTTCCAGTCCCGGTGGCCCTGCTTCCTATCCAGCTCCTTGCTTATGGCCTGGGAGTGCAGTAGAGGACAGCCCAAAGCCTTGGGACCTTGTACCCACGTGGGAGACCAGGAAGAGGCTCCAGACTCCTGGCATCGGGTTGGCACGGCTCCAACCATTGTGGTCACTTGGGAGTGAATCGATGGACAGAGGGTCTTCCTGTCTGTCTCTCCTCCTCTCTGTATATCTGACTTTCCAATAAAAATAAAATAGATCTTTTTTTAAAAACAAATACAATGGTGACCAAGGTGGGGTTCTTTCACAGGATGTACATTGTTAGATATTTGCAGTGTGATATGGATTTTAAAGTTAAGCAATAAGGAAGAGAATAAATTTCTTTAAATTTCTGCAATAAAGTTATTAAATCACTGACAAAAGGGAGTGGTTAAGGCGGTCTTGGCTCTCCCCAGGGTCTCTCGCTTCTGGATGCTAAGAGAAAGATGACATGAATGGAGGCCATTCTCTCTTGGTCATCAACATGGGGAATGTCTATGATCTCAGAGGTCAGTAGAGCAAAACCTGAAGAAACACACACTAATTTCTCTGGTCCTTAACCAACAAGTCATAGGCAATCCAGGAAAGATGGCAATGACCAGGAAGCTTGAAAAACATGCCAGAGTCAGTTGCCATTTCCTGGAAAATAGATGCCAATTGGTGGATTCTTTTGGTTGTACGTAAGAGGAGGATCTTGTGCTTCCCCATGGCATTGTTCTTTGTTAGAAATCATGTTGGCCGGGAGCTGTGCAATGAGAAGGCTAGAGAAGAAGGAAGCTTTATTGGAATTCCATAGCCAATATCTGGGGCATTGCCAACTATGGTTGTTTAAACTATGTTGTTTAAACACTGAGCTGCAGCTCACACTCAACCATCAGTAACCATGTTTGCATGTGACTCCTTTGCATGTGTCTCCTTTGGAAGGAATGGCTCTTCTAGACTGATTAGGAGGTGTAAAAGGCTGGAAGATAGGCTGAAATCAAGGGAGAGGCAAAGAGAAATGAGGTGAAAAAGAATAAGACTTTCCTTCAAGGAACTTTATGGTCAGTCATGAAGCAACAATTCATGGAATGTGACTTAAGACTTTCTAAGATGTTATACCCGCAGGTGTTTCTAAACTTCCTGATCCATAATCCCTTAGCAACCAATCATCTGGTATTGTATTCGCCTTCCCAGGTGTGGTGCCCTGATTCTGGAATTTATGTCTAAGACTCTTTGTGACTGACACTCTTCCAGAGAGCCTCTGGGGTTTGGGTCACTGGAGGAGCTTGTCTGCTCGCAAGGAGAGAGGGAGGTTGTGGTTGCAGCTGGCAGGCAGAGGATACTGATGTCAGACCCTAAACCTGTGCTGGAGGTAGCCAGGAAGCAAGACCTTAAATCGTATTCAAGACTGAGGTGATAGAAATGCAAAAGGCCAAAGAAAGTAACCGGAGGGAAAAAGTTTCCAGAGTCCAGGAGGAAAACAGGGAGAATCTGCAGACCAAGAAATTTCACAGGAACCAAACATGATGCATGATAAAGGTATACTAATAATAATAAAGAAAAAACCCAGCTTATCTGACTGACCAAGACTTTCTTCAGCATTATATTGGGAACTAAATGATTTTTACACAGATAATACAAACATGAAAATGAGTGTGTCCTTACTATTATTAATCATATTTCAATGATTCATTAGCACTACCATGTTCCAGGTTGCTTAATTCATTTAGCAGGTCCACAGCTTTAAGTACCACTGTGAGGGGAAGTGGGGGGGTAAGTACACAATTAAACTCAGAATTTTTTGTAAACAAGTTAGTAGCACAGTGGCACAGTAGATTGTCAAGGAAAACAACGGAAGAGGGGACAGTCACGGGCCTTGCTGGCACTGTCTTGCCGGCAACCAGGGTGGATTTCTTGCAGCTCAGGAGGTGGTCTTCTTGTTAATTAACACCGTGCTGCAGGTGAGCAGCCCATCCACCTTTTCCAGTTCAGAAATGCTCACAGGGATCAGCAGATAGTCCTTCAGTTTCTCGTAAACCTACACAGGGAATCAAGGGAAAGGACGAGAACAACAATTATGCTTTTGCTCTCTGCAGCCTTGGAATACGCAGAATTGACTGGGTTTGTGTCTGAGCTTCTCAGTCATTTAACCTCAACAGACGCATGAGAGGCAGACCCTACATAGACACATAGCCACCATCAGAGAGCCAGTAGCAGTTGGCTAGCTGTTAGCCCCGCAATTTTGCCTCCAAGCCAAGAGCTGTCAGCAATGTGGGTGTTGCTGGACCACCTTTCCTCTGCCTCTTTCAGGGTTGCATGAAGCAACTGGTCAGTCAGTGGGGCTCTGCATCTGACACACTCTCTCTGCTTTTAAAACCCTCTTGACTAGAACGTTTCCTTACCAGCACCGCTGGAATGTTTTTGACAAAATATAATTTAGAATAGTTCAGGTCAAGCAGTTTCTAAATTATAGGTGTGAGTTTTACAGCATCTTTTGACCATAGAAAGAAAGCAAATTTCAGTCCACAGATTTTTGTTTGATGATCAAACAAAGCTCTTCTCAAACAATAGAGTTGCTTAATAACACACTGCCTTAACACCACCTGCCTTGTTTGTTTAGGAAACTGTGTTCCTTAACCTCAGTACAGGGCGGAGGAGTGCAGCAATTAGACACAGTCAGTTCCAAGCCTGGTTCTGCCAGTGCAGGCACATCTCCACCCAGTCTCAGTGTACTCTTCTGTAGGACTGGAGTGATAACCCAGCCCTCCTAAGGGAGCTATAAGCTCTCATAGGATGGCTATAAGGCTATATAAAACATTCTGGGAACAGTGGATTGAGCTTGGCAAAGACCTAGCTCAGGGGAATCCTTCAGGAAGTAGGAGACTGTGAATGTTCATGTCATTTTTGATGTACCCAGGCTGACACGGCAAGCGATGGATGATCACACAGTGGTCAGATACATAGTGCACCTGCAGAGGCATGCGCTACCCAGACCTGTGTTTCTCAAAGGGAATCCTGTGATCTGTGGGCTTGCTGATATTTCAGATTCTAAGGTGGAGGTTCAGGAGTTGGCATATTGGGTGTTTTTCCAAAGGTTTATTTAGTTATTTGAAAGGCAGAGAGACAGAGAGAGAGGAACACACATGCTTGCATACACACACACACACACACACACACACACACACACACACACACACACAGAGAAAGAGAATCTTTTCTCCATTGGCTCACTCTTTAAATGGTCACTAGACTCAGAACTGGACTAGGTGGAAGCCAAGAGCCTGGAACTGCACCTAGTGTTCCCATGTGTGATCCAGGGTTCCAAGAACTTTGCCTACCTTCCAAGGCCTTCAAGGGTACACTAGCAGGAAGCTTGCTCAGAAGCAGAGCAGCCACGAGATTTGAACCAGCATTCTAATGTGGAATGACACATTAAGCCTTGGAAATAGTGCTTGCAAATATTCCCATAATACAGGCCCTAGGAACTGGCATTTTAAACAACTCTGATGCACATTCAAGTATAAGGTCTGGTATTCACCTAAGAACTGGTCCCAGTCTGGGCCTTGAGTTCTATTTTTTTTTTTTTTCAGGTTCAGACTTTCAGCTGTGGAAATAGGGATAAATTATTCATGTACCTGCTCTACTTTTGTCTTTTTTTCTGCTAAGAGGGAGTCTGTGATTGGAGAGTAAACTTAGTAATTATGCAGTATTGCATGTTGGGGGATTGTCAACGTGGCACAATAAGTTAATCTACCACTTGTGACACTGCCATCCCATGTTAGAGCACCAGTTCAAGTCCAGATGCTCCTTGTCAGTGCACCTAGGAAAGCACGGGAAGATGGCCCAAGTACTTGGGTCCCTGCTACTCACACGGAGACCTGGTGCAGTTCTGGATCCTGCTCCAAGCTGCAGTCGTATAGGGAGTCAACCAGTGTATGGAAATTTTTTCTCACTCTGTCTCTTTTTGTCACTCTGCTTTTAAACAAATGAATGATTAAAAAACCACAACTGTATATAAAAAAGGTGGCATAACATATTTTCTAATATTCTCAAAGTGTGAGATGTGAAGGAAAAACCATCAATGGTTACTGAAGGCTCTTGTCCAACACTCAGCCTCAATACTTCATTTCTGCAGGGAGAGATGAAAATGTTGAAGCACTAGAAGACATGGATACCTGAATAAATCTGGGATAAGCACTTCTCTATTTACTTGGCAGGATAACCCTGAATCACTTGAGTGTCCAGATGAGTCTGGCAGAGTGCCATAAGGGCCAGGAAGGAATTCTAGATCCAGAGACGCGTCCCTTGTTGGAACACAAATGTAGAGTAACCCGAAGGGAGCAGCCAGCTGACTCCAAGTGTACTGTACTCCCTCCTGCTCTATCATTTCCCCCAAAAGTTGTTTTGCTAACCTGGCACATACTGCCCTCTATTTCTGCAATTCTGACCTCTCAACATCACTCATATTCCTCTGCTCTGAAAAACAAATGACTGAAGAGGGACAGCTCTGATTTTCCAGAAAACCATGATGCGGTTGGTTATCTAATTGCAGGTTTCTAAGCTGAATGAAGATCTGAGTGTGGAAAGTAAATTTAATTAGAGTTGAAGCACAGGCTTATTTGAACCAGGGCTTAACTGAAAAACTCTGAAGTATTCAACTATTGTGCATGCATCAGTGACCAACAGCCTGAGTGAGAAAGGCCTTAACTTGCATGATCTGTGCTGCTTTCTTTGTGGTTGGCCTTATCTGAGGAGAAAAGAATCCCTTTCTGGTTACTGCATCATGAAAGCATCTCCAGCAAACCTGCCCACTGCAGCATCCAAGAGACAATATTTTGTTTTGTTTGTTTTTTTACCTTTGCACTTTCTGGATATTCCTCTGGAGTTCGGTGCAGCAGGACATGCCCTTTGCTGGGACTATTTATATATATACAGTTTGCAGCCACATCATCAGGCACAGTGAGTTTGTCATAGCGGTGGTCACTCATCTGTTGCATGATCTAGAAGGAGAGCAAAGCGGACTTTAGCAAATTTGTAGGCAGACACAAAGAATGAGGGGGTCTAAGCTTGCAACCAAGGCCTCAGATTGTTCTCTGTCCATGTTCTCATTGCTTATTTCTATTCTTGTCTGAAGAGGAAAACCTGAGAAAGCCATGATTCCTTGAAAGAATTGCAACATGCTAATTCTTATAAAAAATGTGCCTCTAATTATTTTTAGGGTTTGAAGATTATTACATATTTTTCAAGCTTTTGCTCATGCAATCTATTAGTAAAGCATAAATGGTTACAGATATAAAATATCTACCTTAGCTTGCAGGAAAGAGAGGTCATAGCAGTAACTGAATGCTTAATACTCACATTTAGCAATAACTACATACAAACATAGACAAATTGCTCCTCTGTGTGCAGTTAAGTTGAATTTATCTATATATTGGAAGGTGATTCCCACATTGAGTGTAAGAGTCACCTGGAGAAAATATTGAATTCTTATTCCTAGGTACCACCCTCACAGGTACCACCTGGCAAATTTGGCATGGGTCATAGAAACTTGTGTTTTGGAACTCTCCAGAGAATTCTGAGAAATGAGGCTCATGGAATTGCATTTTGAGTAAAACTGACAGACCAGTTCTTCAAATGATACATTTATTATTAGCATAATATAACTGGAGAGGAAAAGCAAAACAAGTCAGGCACAAAGCTTAAAATATTGATACCTCATTCTTAACCCTTAACACAAGCAAAATCTTCAGAATCCAACACCGTCAAATAATGAAAATAACCAAATACCAAAAATGTGGACTTAATCATTTAGATCTTTCTATTAAAAGACTAAGCATTTTTAAAGATTATTTATTTTTATTGGAAAGGCGGATATACAGAGAGGAGGAGAGACAGAGAGGAAGATCTTCCACCCAATGATTCACTCTCCAAGTGACCGCAACAGCTGATACTGCGCCTGTCTGACTGCTTTCCCAGGCCACAAGCAGGGAGTTGGATGGGAAGTGGAGCTGCTGGGATTAGAACCCCCCAGGTTCTAATTAGAATCGGCGACCATATGGGATGCCAGCACGTGCAAGGTGAGGATTTTAACCACTACGCTATCGCGCCAAGCTCAAGACTAAGCATTTTTATTTGAGAGAGAGAATTTTAATAATTACTGGCTCACTCCCCAAATGGCTGCAAACAGCTGGGGCTGGGCCAGGTAGAAGACAGAGCCAGGCAGTAAGGAAACCAATCCAGGTCTTCATATGTAGGTGGCAGACACCCAAGTTCTTGGGCCTCCCAGTGTGTACATTAGAAGGAAACTGGATTCAGAAGTAGAGCTAGAACTCAAACCCAGACAGCTGAGTGTGGAATTCAGGTGTTTCAAATGGAAACTTAACTGCTTAGCCAAGGAGTTGCCCCTCTTTGCAAATCCATACCTTTTAAGGACTTCCACAGGAATGTCATGAAGGTATAACACAATCTTCTCCACAGTCTGGTCCCAACCTACCTCCCAACCTACTACCTTTTCATTCTGTAGTATTTGTGTAGAAATGTGTGCTATAGGTTTAGGAGCTGAAGCCCACTCATTCATGGCATGAAACCATAAGACTAATGACACGGAAAGATAGAAGAGAGATTGCAGAAGATCTATTCCAAGGAGAGCATGAAGTATGGCACATGGTAAGCCCTTCCTGACTCCCCAGTGAGATCAATCACTAATGACCTGGCTGTTGTGGTCATTCAGAAAGTGAACCAGTAGACAGAAGTTTGTTCTGTTGCCTCCATTCCCCCAGCAACAACAATTTATCACTCTGCCTTTCAAATAAACAAATAAGCCATTATTTAAAAAAATAAGCTATTATGCCTGTGCAGAAACATCAATGTAATTCATTATTCAATGTAAAACATAATTAAAATCAGAGTCCAAGATTTCTCTTTTTCTTTCTTTCCTTTTTAAAGATTTATTATTTTTTATTGGAAAGTCAGATATAGAGAGCGAAGGAGAAACAGAGAAGAAGATCCTCTGTCTGATGGTTCACTCCCCAAGTGGCTGCAATGGCTGGACCTGCACCAATCTTAAGCCAGAATCTTGGAGCTTCTTCCAGGTCTCCCATGTGGATGCAGGGTCCCAAGGCCTTGGGCCATCCTCGACTCCTTTCCCAGGCCACAAGCATGGAGCTGAATGGGAAGTGAAGCTGCCAGGATTGGAACCAGCGACCATATGGGACCCTGGCATCTACAAGGGGAAGACTTCAGCTGTTAGGCTACCATGCCAGGTCCAGGATTTCCCTTTATCTTAAAGCAACATAGATGAGACACTTTATTCAATAAGAGTGGTGGACCTGGGAGTGAATTAAACAATATGAAGCACCTTGAGGCATTAAAACAAAACAAAGAACTGTATGTAGCAAATTGAGCACATAAAACATCTATCGATTGGTTGTCCCTGTCTTAGTAAAATAGTTTCTAAACTCAGTTGCTAAATCGACTTCTTTGTAAGTCTAACTGGGGTTATTTCCTTATGCAAGATGTGGATGTGAAAAACTTCTTAGCCATTGCCTTTGATCAATCTCACCATCAAGTTTCTTTCAAGTGCAAGAATAGGATTTCATGGCATCCAAATGTGTTTATCATGTGCTATGGAAGCCATACCAAGATGATCTGTCTGTTCACATTGCTGGTCAGAACTAGGCTGTCTTCCTTTCACATGAGTTGGACTTTGTTTAGCAGAGGAATTCAGGATTTCTTCCACCATCCTGGGGAGACAGTTTTCTAGGCCAGAGGTCTGCCAACTAGGACTGCAGTGATTCAAGAACCTTATAGAAGTTCAGAAAATATAGCACATACAACTGCTACTACCTGATGAAGTCTAGACACTGGGAAAACCAACTAAAAAAAAAAATCTGGTGTTCCCATTAGCTTAGTTTTCTAGGCAGTGAGGAGAGTTCTGAGGAGCATATTTTGGCACAATACATTCAGGCAAGGTGCTCTCAGCACTCCTAAGCACCAGATGCTTTTTCCAGATGATTCACTGCATTTTTTTTTTATTTATAAAGAAATCGCGTCATCAGTACAAAGCGAGTTGAAAGAAAAAGGGAGCTTGGCCTGAGGGCCAAGGATCCCTTTATTGGTTAAGTAGTCTGGGACAATCCACCACCTGCCAGGGTGACTCAGGCATGTCCAGTGACTATGAAGCAGAAACACGGAATGTTGTGCATTCCACAGGAAGCGTTATCAAGGAATGTTATCAGTGTTGACTTCTTGTTTATTAGTGAGGAAGCAAGAAAATCTTCAAGGTTGTGGCTACTTCAGAAAGTACCAAGCTTTACTGGAGTAATGAAGATTTGTGGGAGACCAGATTTCCTTTCCTATGATGCCCTGCTTGGGTTCTAGCTGTCTGCGGGTTCTGTCCCCACCTTCCACCCTCACCTCCAAAATGGGACAGTCCTTTTCCTAGACCCCAATTTCTAACTGATTTATTGTTAATGACATTTGAGATTCTAACTGCAAGTCTCCTCTACCATCCTTGACTCTCATCGCTGTTTTCTCCCTCTCTGTGCCTTCGAGTTGTAATTTACAGCTGCTGGTAGTGACAGTCATAAAATTACTGACATCAGGGCCAGTACCCAGCCCAGAATTGTTTTAGGATAGTTTCTTTTTCTTTTGATTACAGACAGTAAAAGAATCATGTTATCTTTAGTGGGGGAGTAATTTAATGCTGAGAATATATGTAGTAATTCAGTGATAAATTCTACTGAGAGTTACTCTTAAAATAAATGCCTCAATAAAACCACTAAAGCCACCTCAGGAGACACTTCTCAATTAATTTATCAAAGCCCCATGGTTATTCACTTTAAGACAGATTTTTAAATGTGCCAAAAGAAATGACATTGAATAAGGAACAGGACCCATTACAGCAGACAGTGGTTCTGGTTAATTGTGGAAAGAAAAAAAAAATTATAGCAGCTATATTAGGCATAGTCTTTCTAAATGAAAAGGATTTGGGAAGTGGCTAATTACAGATAATAAACGAGATATATTCTCCCACATTCGAAATGCCCCCCAAACGAAAGGTGCTTATATTAAGCTCAGTGTGTGTGTGTGTGTGTGTGTGTGTGTGTGTGTGTGGTGGAATGAAGAATAGGTTTCTTTATTTCTGTTAAAGGGATCATTTTTATTTCTTACAGGTTAGAATTAGGATCATGAGATAGCTTGTCACTTATTTCTAGCTGAGTTCAGAAGATGTGTGGATACGCATAATACAGGGCACCTGCCATTCAGACTGCAATGGGAGAGCTTCAGGGATGTGGCCTTCACCCTGTCCCTGTGAGGTCGGCACTGGCCTGGTGCAAGGCTCCCAAGAACTGAGCCATGGTACAGCTGAGAAAGGAACACGGTTTCATTTCCCCTTGGAAGATGCGTAGTGCCTTAGTTGAGAGATGAGCATTCTTCCAAATATCACTGGAATGCAGCTGTTGGGCTATTCAGTTCTATGTTTCCACAGTTTTCTTCCCTAAAAAGTCCGGAACAGGTGGTGCCATTCCAAAGCTCTTTGTAAAGTGTCCTTTCATCCTGTGCAACTGTACTTCCTGCTTCTCCCTGGGCACCAAGCTGGAATACAAAGGAGAGTGCAGCTAATCCCTCTACACGAAATCCTCTTTTTATTGTGCACTATTCCATATCCTGAGAAACATGGACTTAAGTGAATAATGTACACAAGTTCTATAAGACTTAGGGAGAAGTGAGCAACTTCTGTTTCACATGTTTTTTCAATTTGGTGCAAAATAATTTTATGCAAAGTTATTACTGGCATTGGATACAATTTGCGCTGGGATTCAACTGAACAACTTTTCTACAGTACTATCTTTGGATTAGGGCTATGGCAGTGAGATGGGGATGAGATAAGGAGAGAACATAGTCATATGTTCTACCTTCAGGAAAAGAAAACCCATATTAAATTTGGATAAGGATGGGAAGGACCTGCAGGCTGTGAAAAAGAAAGTCAACCTCACTT